TATTTGAATACGTTTATTTGGACAGTGTAGATTGGTCACTTAATGGGACACTATCAACTTCCTTCTGGTATAAAAACACACGAATGATCCATTTTGGAGAAAAGTAAAAGCAATACCTAGTAGTAATTTCTTCATAATGTTACTCTATAAATGAATGCAGAACCTGCCAGCAGTTAATATTGCCCTGAAGCACTGTGAATAAACATTTGTCTGGTATTAGGTACACACACCCTCCACATATAAATCAAGGCACAATGTGCCATATAGATGAACAAGAGAAGAAAAAAAAATTCCTACCTTGTCCTATATTAGACATTAAGTGCTTCTTTTGATCACAAAATAACTCATAAAGCCTATCAAAAAGCTAGCACTTCTCTCTCTGTCAGATAAAAGACATTTCACTGTAATTAAACTTCTGCCCAACTTTCCAGAAGATTAGGGGAAGAAGTCTGACAGGCTCTATTTATATTTGTGACTGACACTCCTCGGGACATCCAAGGAAAAAAGGAGATGGGCAACAGATTTACGACACACTTCTGAGCGAACAGCACTTACGGAGATGGACGGTTCTGAGCTTATCATCACTCATTCATTGTTTTTTTAATTTAAAAAAATCCCCGCTGCCCAGCTCAAAAGCATTTTCTGTTCAGTTTGCAATCCACATTCCCCAGCCTTCAATGGCTTAGGTTTTTATTTCATTTTTAAGTGACAACACACACAGCAGGTTGTTTGGGTAAATCAGCTTTACCTGATTTATATGAATAAAGGTGGTAAACAACCATGTCTCTTAACAGAGCTCTGTGAGCACTTGGAGAAGGAAAATATTATTCTATGTATCCCTTTTCACATACCAAACTATATGTCAAAACACATGGCTGGTTTCTGACACTAGGTGATGAGAATAAGCCATCAGCTCCAGGATCCCACCACCAAACCCAAAGATTTACTCCTCTTCTGTTTTCCTTTGTGTCCTTCATCCTGCTCAGTACTAACTTCAGCTACACGTTTCCTTGTATTCAACTTTCTACAAGATACCTCAATGGTGCAAAGTCAATATTACACTTAGAGAACAAGAGCAAAAGTAGAAAAGAAATTATCACTTTGGGAGGGACAACAAGTAACAAAAAAAGTACATTATCATAGCCTGTCTTTCAGAGTTGAAGCAAAGATCAAACCGTAAGCAGCGTCAGAGGACAACGCTGATGACAAGGGAAGTTTTCCCCCACATTTCAAATTCTAGAATGCTTTGCCAGGAGCGTTTTAGGAAATCTCTCCAGAGACTCCAAATATGCAGATAGGATGCTGGAAAAATAAACATGCAGCTTTTTTCACTCAAAAAAAAAAAAAATAGTGTAACGACTACATCATTTTTCCCTAAGACAAAAGCTTATAAACTGCTTGGCCGAATTTCCATATTACAAGCTACAACTACCAACTCTTCCCCAAAAAGTACAGGTTAACATATCACACCTATAGCAGTCACACTTGGGGGGTGGGAAAATGTGCATAAACTAACGATGGCTGCATGGTCAAACTGACCCACTAATAAAACACCTTCCCTTCATTACCTATTCCTGAACAGCAGAGCACCTACACTTCATGCTATCAAAGCCACCCTAAGCAATCTTCTTTTGAGCCTTTAAACCTTTGGATTGTTATCTTTGTTCTGCAGTTACAGAGCTCCCCGACACTTCCCGCTGTTACTGCTGAAAGTATAATTTACTCTATTTACACAACTTGTAGCAACACACTCCAAAACAGCAGTGAGATTCCATCACGCACTATTAACGGCACTTTCAGCTACATTACTCAGCAATCCTGAAGTTGCAGAGAAGTGAGCTGCTGGTTCTGTGTTCAGTGCAAGAGCGACCCTCTCTTCTTTCCCCATGCTCGCACCACAGAAGGGTTTTCCATCCCAGCAAAAATAGCAAGCTCCAAGGAGCCTACACAACTCAAACATGGAAATAATCAGCATTAAAAGAAAGTGATTTAAACCCACTGTTCGGGAAATTCAGTCCTGTGGTTCTGTGTCTAAAAACATCCAATCTGAGCGGTACAGCAAATATGATATGCATCTTCACTTGATCTCTGGGAAGCCTTGAGACACTGGCAACTGCCCAGGTCACACAAAACAGACTGCGCTTCAGATCCCCAAGGCAGAAGCAGGGGGAATATCAATGCACAAGCTCATTGGTAATGATGGAGCTTTTCTGTGGTGTGATGATCTCTATTGCTTTTTTAATAACAGAAACACTGGCTCTAAAAAATATACAGTAATAAATGGAAGGTAGTTCAAGAATGGAAGAATGAGACAAAATAAGTTTAGTCCGTTCAGTGAAGCCATATGCCATTTGGAAAATGTTGTTACGAGTGTGTTTGTATACCATAACTCTCCATTCTAGATCAACTAAGGGACACTGAGAAGCAGTTGAGCTAAGATCTGTCTCCAGTTTTACAGAAACGGATGGGACCTTACATAGCAAACTGTTCCCCTGTGACACCTTTTCCATGCCTGGTTTGTTTTCTGAAGTCAAGTCCTGCTCATATTCCGCTACATTAGCGATTAACTCCTGCTTCACTACCAAGCACGCCCTCTTATCAAAAAGAAACTGGGGACTATTTGTCAGGTTGTGAGACAAACAGTCACCAAACACCATGGGAAAGGTACCATCACTGGGGATAAAAAACAGTAAGAAGACTGCAGTGTAAAGACTAAGAGAAAGAATAATCAGCTTACTAAATCCCTTCCAGGCACTCTTCTGCCTGTGTTCAAAAGCTCAGTGATGACCAAACATACATTCACTGTACAAAGATTCAATATCAGCCACTTAGGGAAGAGGGTCATATCACCATCTTCAACACCACACTCAAAACCTCTTCTACTAAACTGTAAACCAGGACTATCTGTGACTCTACACTTCACTGCCAAAAATAAATTCAGATGCCAACTTCTGATGATGTTTCCTTAAGCATCATTAATTTTAACAGAGAAAATTAATCAAAGCTTCTTATGGTAGGCAAAAATTCTTTTGTCTTTGTACTGCACGTTGCTCTATACACACATAACCTCCGACTCTCTAAATCAAACACAGCACTATCAGTACTGAAGACCTAACACATTTCAACCAAAGGCAAAAGGACTCGTAGCTGAAAAAAACAATAGAAAGCCGAATAAGTGCTGGGCTCAATCACTAGAGGGAGTCATGATCACATATTAAGTTACTGTAATGCACAGACCATTCTGAACACAATTATGAAACAAATAAAAGAGAAGACCATCAGCTAAATCTGGATGTCATTCAGGGAAAAAAGAAAATTAGATTTGCTTCCTTAACAAGGTTTTATTTCCAAAGACTCAAGACCTTCTCCTGGGAACTTTCAAATCATCTGTAATGAAAGGTTTTTAAAAATGTATCTCATTGCCTACATTTTAAGACAGAATAAGGTATGTGACAGAAGAACATCAAAATTATCAGTTTTGGAAATGACACACAGCGCTGCATCAAGAAAATGTTAGAATTTTAATTTAAGCAGCTTTACAGCCCATTTCACTTGAAATCAAAAGTAATCTTAATCATGTTTTTACTTTTAAACTAAATTGGCACAATTACATCCAGCATGAACAGGCACTACCAAAAGGCTGCTTTTTCAGCAGATGATTCCCCGTGGCCAGTAATAAATTTAGAAAAAGCATTTCTTTGACAGGCTGAGAGAAGCTGCCTGGAAAAAAATAATCAATAACTCAAACATTACCATCATTCTTTTATTTGATCATTTGATCAATTGTGGGTTTGAGGCTTTGCTCGGTTTATTTTTAATATATGTAATGTCTTCTTTATATTGGTGCAATTTTTTTCCCCTTTTAAACTTCTTAGCAAAAACCACAAAACAATTTGGCCGGCTGCACTCACGGGAATTTACACTTGGCTAACAATTTTACAACTGACTAAACAGTTTCATTAGCAGCAGCAGCCCACACGAAGCTTTTAACACCCAGCTTGAATCCTGCCCATCATTACTAAGGCAGAGCCCAGAACACGATCATCTCTTGAACCAAAATCTACCACACACCCCAGGAGACGCATTAGCAAATGCAGCCCAAGACAAAGTAAAGAGTGCTTGTCCAGTGCTCAATTACACAGTACTTGACTGCTTTACATTCAACACGTTTACACCGAAGGCTGAAATTCTCCACACTTCTCTTGCTCAGAGAAGTCAGCTAACACCTTGGCAATGTAAACAGTCCGAGAGCCTTTTTGAAAGACAGAGGTATTGTTTTTAACAAGGACAACAGGTTCCTAATGTGCGGAAATAAATCAGTGTGAGAAGCAAGAATATGTGCACAGAGGATGAGAAGTGCTTCCTGGCATGCTATGGAACTGTGTGAAGAAAGGCTACGTGTTACCAGTGCAGTCTGGAAAGTTAAGCTCTGGCAGAGAAATTCATTTCCCCTATTAGATATTCACTCCCACACACGGGCTTAAATACCCTCTAGTTTCAAATACATCTCTCACTCTATAACCAGACTGCTCCTTGCAAAGCATAGCAGTACTTTGCCACCAAAACAGCAAACATACTTTTCCACCACTATCTATACAAACTGGTCCTCTAAGCAGTGAAATCACAGTCCTGAGGGCTCTTACTCCTTTCCCATACCCAGATGGCTAGTTTGCACATTTTGCTGTGGCATTCTCTTCCCAGAGGAGATGGTCTGGGAAAGCAGCTTACTTTCCCTTGCAAAGACTTTAGGTCATAAAATAAAGCTGGATAAACTCTTCATTGCATCCAACCACAGTTCTTCATCTTTTTCTTTCGGCAAGGACTTAACTAAGCAAAACACTCTTCATCAACATGGGAAAAACAGTGATGGCATAGAACACTCCATGGAGTGGCAGGGAAATCTAAAAAGCCATCCTCTCAGGCTGCAGTCCTTGTTTTCTTTATATACGCTTTAATATAGCGGTGTCTTGCTACCAGCATCCACTATTGGTATGACTTACCTGTTTGTGATGGTAGAGTTCTGCTCTTTCAGCACAATCTCCCTTTGCTGCAGGGCCACAATTTGCCTTGACAGATCATCAGGCGTCCTACACAATTAAAACAAAACAGAAACTTTTAATGAATCATTGGTTGAAAAACTGTGTTCCATAAATAACCATAAAAAAGGTCTCACCAAAAGCAGATAAGGCAATTTCACCAGGCCAAAGTTGCTGCAGTCCCTTAGAAGAACACAGGGTTGCATCCTGCCCAGCTTACACAAAGCCTGTTTTATTAAAGCCATCGCTGTATGCTGTAACCACCATCCAAGTCGCAGCATTTCAACATTCTTCACTTCAACCCATAAACTAACTCTAAAGCAAGACCAAATTCTTCAAAGCAAGCAGCCGGCATAAACATTCACACCAGAAGAACAGACAGCTTATCACTTGAACGCATATACCTTTTTTTTTTTTTTAACATATATAAAAATAAGTGTTCACAATCTCCTCCCCATCCCAGTGCTCAGCACAAATACAGAGGGGTGAGCACATGCAGCGTTACTCTAACTGCTCCTCGACTACGGAGTCTCAGTGGAGCGTGATCACAGGATTGTTACCACAAGGGCAAGAAAAGGAGGATGTAAAGGTACATATACTGTACAATTCAACAGCTCTGGCTACTGCTGAATACCCTCCAAGAGCGTAGAGGTTCAGCTACATCATAGGTGACTCAAAGCAGCGCTTCCACACAATTACCAGTGTGCCACCTTCAGTCCTTCATACAAGCAGTAACCCCAGAGCCATGAGGGGGGGAATTCATCCATCAGCTCTAGTTAACACTTCAGATACCACTCCGATAAGCTGTTCTTGTCAGAGAGGAAAGATTTCTGCAGATCCGCTAACAACAGCTCTGCAGTTGCCAGGAATAGCTTTATTTTTCCATCAAATCCAACGATGAATTCTTAAAGCTAGTGGAATGAGATCAAGATAACTCTAGGCTGGCAGTCCCAGAAACCACTATCCCACATCAACAGTCTCTGCAGGAGACAACCGTTCTTTTCAGTGACCTCTCTAAATCATGAGTGTAAGAGATTCAACTCTAAACGAGGCAGCTTACGAAAAAACACAAGAAGATTTTTCTATTGAGCCACCAGAAAGAGTTTCCCATCTCAAAAGAGAAGCATCTCTGCCACACTTCCCAAAGGAAAGGCAGGAGGAAAGGGCATCCCAGTACGGACTGGGCACCTCCTTTTGCTACAGCAAGCTGCACCACCCCCAAAGGGGGAGAGTGACCCAAACCTTGAATGGTTTTTTTTATAGGGAGCGAGTGGGAAGCCAGATTTGGGGAAGTGAAATCTGTAGAAACACATTCTGTCATTTCCCCCAAGGTGCAAGTCAAGGCTTCACTGTTGCTGGCCGATGAAATTAAGCCTGGTCACATTTTACATTATTCAAATATAGCCCTGGAATGAGGCTCCAAAAACCAAATAGGTAGGAGATGTGCCTGTAAGCTTGACCATTGGGATTTTAACTGAATCGAGGACTAAAGAAACCATTTCTCTGATGATACCACTTTCCAGCCAACTGCTCACATACAGAAAAGTCATCACTTTTTCTCTTCAATCACCTGTCACTTCCAGCCAGGTGAAAATCAGTTAAACACTGGGCTGATGCAGACAGTCAGGATCCAATTCTGGCAATCCCAATTCAAAGGTTCCTGCTTTTTGCTTCCAGAATTGCACACTTGAAGCCTTCCTCGGCAGAAAATTTTGAAGCCTCTTACACCACTTGTGTTACATGCAAATCTTAACAATCAATATACAATAAAACAGATGGCCGTGGTCTTCCTCAGACAACGGAGACACATATTGCGGCAGTCAAAGAAATCTGTCAGAACAGGATGAAACACTATCCTTCAAAGACTTCACACTCAATGGCCAAGGAAACTATGAGAAGAAACCAAGACGGAGATGGTTTGATTAAAACATCTACAATCCAAATTCTGACAGCAGAGACAAGTCAATTTTAAGCCAACATGCACCTGGGTTTTCAGAGGTGTTGCAGCACTAGATAACACGCTTCAATCCCCTGTAACTGAGCCTGAAGGGATTCTTAAATTTAAGCAGTTCCACATCTCTTTACAGAGGGATCCTTAATGGGTGGGCATCAGCGCAAACACTGGAGAACTAATTCAAGCCAGTCTGATGCAAGCCACATCTCCACGTAACCCAAGAGCAAGGGAAAAACACTGTTTTCTTGGAATCTCAGCTCTGAATAGCTCAAATCTAACACTGCTGCAACTATGTTTTCCAAGTTGGAGGACTCAGATTCTTTCTATTGGTATATAAATGGAGAACTAAATGACAACATACGCCAGAAAGTGGAAGAAAGTTAGTTTCGTATGTTCCACAATGTCTGCATGGAAAATAAAAAAATAAAAACAAAAAAAAAACACCAAACCAACATCAAAAAAGCTGCAAGAGAAGTCTATAAAGCTACAATCTGATTTCAACATGGGTTCATGAGCTTCTGTCTACAGGAAGTGGATGTCAGATGTTTTCTTTTCCATGAATGAAGGAAGTAGATGTTCTCTTTCTACAGTAGATTTTAACCAGAAAAATCTAGATACAAGGTAAGGATAAAGGCAACTTTGCATTAGTGCCGATAAGAAAAAAAAATATATAAAAAAATTATGTTTCCCTTTCCACTTCACCATCTTTCACTTACCAGAGCCACCAGAAGCGAAAAAACAGAAAACACCAGCCAGAAACGGACTGGGTATGCCTAGTCTGTTTGGTAAAAGGAAGCTGTAAGCAGACACACCAGTTTCAACACGGACAATCTTTGTAAAATTTAATGGCATGTCAACAAGGTTCTGAAAAAAGCAGTTCTAAGCCTCTCATAATTCAACCAAATATAGTAGATATATCACAAGGATGGTTAGTATCACGCGTGTCTCCTGCCATTCTGAGTCCCAGCCTCCACCACCAGTGTTTGGACCCTGCGTCAATGAAATAATTGCACAGATTTTTTTTTAAATGGGGGGGAAAAAAAGAAGTATATTTGCCTTGATTTTTTTCTTTTTCTCAGAAATTCATACCATAGTGTATTAGGACTGAGTCAGAGAACTGAAATTAATCCAATAGTAAAATGAGTTGGGATTATAAAAGCCACAGATTTCTAGTAATGATAGCTACTGACAGATTTCCAATAAAAAACAATCATCCTCATCTGTTCGGCAATTCAAATCAACAATCAGCTTCCAATCTCAGTTTCAGCAATTGGCAGCTTTAGGTTTATACTTATTTCTGGAGGATGTTTTATTGGCATTAGATGGAACGTCCAAGCGGAATGGCACAGAGATGTAACAGAAAATAAAGTCAATGGGTATTAACCCCCTCTAAAGAAGAGTTCACTTTCTGTAAAACTAAATCACGTCAGGTGGTCAGAGACAAAGACACCCCTTGTGTGCACTCTGCTGTCAAATACCTTTATTGAGTGGTTTCAAAGCCCGTTTCTGAGGTCTACATCCTATCCTGATCACGCACAACTTGGCAAAAGCCAAATTTACACAGTTCCAAGGAGAGGAATGACACTGCATGCACAATGAAATTAAATCAGACGAGCTTTCAATTTGAAGAGAATTGGTCAACTCCCAAAGCACTGCAAATACCAACCAGCCCTCATTGCTGTGAACAGCCCTCTCATTTCACAAGTTTCTGAAAACAATGCCACATAAAGAGAGAAATTTGTCAGCATCCCAACGCACGCTTAACATGTTCTCGCCTTGAGAGTCTTTGTCTAATTTTTGCTAAAGCTCTTTCCACTCCCTATGGAACAGCTGATATCAAAAAGCAGTACTAAAAAGAAGCCAAGAAGTTTGCTTAAAGAGAATCTGTCTGACAATATATCTTAACAACACTACTTCAATCACCACTGCTACTTGAGAGAAGTTTGAAACTCTGTCCTTACATAAATATACCCAGACCTGCCTTTCTGAGAAGCAGATTTCTTTCTGCATTGTCACTGTTTGCCCTGCAGACGGCTTTCATCCCCATGTAACGATTGGAGGCGATGGAACCACGAAAAAAAACACACCTAGTTTGCATCAGCTGTGTAAAATCCCGTAAGTGAACCACATGCACTGAACAGTATGATTCAAGAGCAGCGTGTTATTAGAACTGAATCATATGCTGTGTAATTACAAAGATAACACGAAGACCAAATGACAAAAAGCGGCTTCCAAAATGCGGGTGCAGATTAAATCACTGACTTCAGTTCCTTTCTCCTGGGTAAGGCACAAGGAGCCAAAAGCTAGAACGTTCTTCTTCTGTCCCACCATCCCATCCTGAGGGCGCGTTTCCTTCTGCAATAACATTTCAGCAAAAATCAAAATCCAAACAAACGGAAGAATTTAAGCCTAATTTGGAAACATGATTTCTTGCCCTAAACCAGCAAATTAGTCCAGCATGGCTTAGCAGCACAGTAAGGAAGGAGAGGGACAAAATTGCCTATAACCAAAGCTGTTTGACTTCCTTTGAAGTGCACATAATTTGAAAAGGAGCAATTTAAGAATGATAAAAACCTAAAAGTGTTAAAATGAAGTGAAAAATTAACTTAATGGGATGCCCATCCAAGTCACTCAGTGACTTTCAGGCACCCACTGGCACATTTGCTTAACTTTTAACAAGGAAAATGACTTATGTATTTTTTTATACTTTTTTTTTTTTTTCATGCGCACAACTGGCATTTCAGAGACATTTGCTAGAAAGCTCTGTTGGGCTGTGATAGTTAAGGATCTATTACCATTTCAGTATAAACTATGACAGTTACACACTGAGAATTAGCTGTTGAAGTAACATTAAACCAAGACTCAGTAAGCAGATGAAGATGCTAAAGTAAAAATTGGAATTTTATTTAATTTATAATTTATTAGAATGTCAACTTCTTATCGCTTCTATAAAATGTTTCAAAATTCACAGCAAAGGAAGAGGTTTGATTGTAGCTAGATATCTGACATTAAATTTTAACTATGCAAGTGCAAGACAAAAGTAAAACTAAGGCACTTAGTCAACTCTGTTTAGAGGATTAAGGTCTTCACTGTCTTT